CCCCCCCCCCCCCCCATCGCTCGGATGTACAGTAGCGGTCATGAATTTAAGACGATCAATTTTCTCTTTTCGGTTCTCACGCATATACATACTATACACACAACGGTTAATTTAGTTTGTCTCATTCTAAAATCTAGAGATAGGTGTATCGGTTAAGCTTAATCTCTCTCGCGTAGAGCTATGAAATTTAAACAAGACACGGTTATTTTTATATTTTTGGCCTCCTGAACGGCGGACATTATTTTACGACAAATATAAAAATCCGTGTGTAGCGTAACAGTTTTGATTGATTTTTTTAAGTTCACATACCGAGCATAAGAGTATAGGTAGATCATCACGGAATTTACTGCTTAACGAAAGGGAACAAGCCGTTTTGGAGAAGATTCGAGACCACGGTGCTTTTTAACTAATATTTTCCTTCCTTCCTTTTCGTCATAATTATTCGACCGCTACCGTACCTCCCCTAAACAACTACATATACAATCCCCGTAATCGAGGAAAGCTTTAAAACGTTCAAATGTGTAGCAAATTTGTAACTAATTGATATTTAAATGTAATACCGTATGTAATACCGAGAAGAATGGACGTGAGGGAGCTTTGAATAGTGCCTGCTTAAAGAAGACAAAAATGAAACAACAACACGAACAACCCGATTTACTGTAATCTGTAAATGGTTAGACAAGGTATCGTACGTTGTTTCGTACAACTCGAAATTCTATAGGACTACCGTAGCCAAGTATGGGAAAAAGTGTTCTAATCGAATGCGTTCGTTACGTTCGGTGATTACGCGCATCCTCGTGCACAACGAAACACGCTTATCTCGAATTACCTCCATCGAAATTCGAACCTGCGACAACTCGATCAAACTAGTATTTCATTGTTCGTTTCCGCCGAATGAACTAACTTAGTCATTCTTTTTTAGCCGAGAAATTCGAATAGTCCATTTAGAAAATTAACTGCCTCGATCCAAAATCCGTTTCGAATTGATTTGTTGTCGAGTTTCTTTAGTTTCACGAATTTCGCGATCGATACCGAACCGACACAAATACGTTGAGTTCGATCATGTTCTGCGGCACCCGTGTTCTATTGTTACATCATGCCACTCTTCCCTATACTATACTATGAGTTCATGTTATTCGATACTCTTAAATGTACATAAAACCTATGTGGTCGTAACTGTATGTACATACTGTTAAACGTTCTATTACTCCTCTGAAATATGAATACAAGGAAAAATTGGTTATTTAGTATAATTTTGACTCAACACGTTTTACTTACTTTTATCTCCAACTCCTTTACCTGCAGTACAGTATCCATCACAGCTCCGCCGATCACCACCTATGATAATTATTGTATCGTTAGTCGATCGAACGGTTTCCTGATATGCTTTTGTATCAACTTACCGGATTTTGTTTTGGCTTCAGTAAGCAATCGAACACCGTGTTGCTTGAATAACATTGATGCTTCTCAACTAAGTTTACCGCAATTTCCCCTGCTATACTCGCATTATTTTCTATAAGTGCCATATCTACGAAACAACATTCAAATTTTCCAGTTGCTTTCTTCGAGCTTAAAATGCATAAGTTGTTCACCTGTACTTACTGGCTTGCAACGATCGACCATGCGTAATTTTGGTTAGTTCCTCTAACAAAAATGGAGTCACATTCTTTCCGGTAATGCCTTTACATTTTGCAACTTCCAAAGCTTTGCCTATAGCCAACTCCATTTCCTTCGGGTCTAATGCATGCTTCTCAGGGATAGGAACAGCGAACAGAATTCCTGTCCGAAGATCCAACTCTGCGTGAGCCCTTAGAACATCTGCAGCTTCCTTTGAAGTAGATACTCTATGAGGTGCTATGGTATTCTGAAATGTCTCTCTACAATAAAATGCTGGAAAGTGATCCGTTTCTCCAATCTTTATTACCGGAACTCCTTGCGTTTCCTACAAGAAAATATGAGTCTGTATAAACCTTTCGATACGATAAAACCTGCCGTTTCTTTGTACAAGGATATACAAACCAGATACTCTAATGTTTTCTCAATATCTAAGATAGATTTAACACCTGAGCACACTACAGCCACAGGAGTGCGTCCAAGCTCTAGCAAGTCTGTACTGATATCGAACGTAGATTCTGCACCACGATGAACACCGCCGATTCCTCCCGTTGCCATTACGTGTATACCAGCTAAATTTGCCAGCAACATAGTACTGCTAACAGTTGTTCCCCCGTTGAGTTTCTGAGACATAATCAGAGGTATGTCCCTGCGAGAACATTTAATAGATTTTACAGTATTTGATTCAGCCAGAGCTTCTAATTGTTCTCGATTCAAACCAATGTGCACTTGTCCTTTTAAAATTGCTATAGTAGCTGGAATAGCACCCTGAAAAATAACAAAATATAAGTCTCAGGGAAGTATGGTATTATCAGAAACGTACTATAAAACTGTGTAAATCCATTTACTTTTGACCTAACAGCATTCTCAACTTTGATAGCTGTTTTGAGATTATCCGGATATGGCATACCGTGAGTAATGATGGTAGATTCTAAAGCAACGATCGGCTGCCCATTTCTTTTTGCCGTTTCTACATCGTGCCCATAAATAAATTTGCTACTTCCGTTAATTGATCGACGATTATTCGACACATTGAACCACTTTATCTTCCCAAAAAGTCTTCGGCAACTTGTCCACTGCATCTTCACAATTCACAATGCTAAAACAACCGACTGTTGCCAATTCAGTTTACTATCGGCGAGAAGATCGTAAGTAAACGATGATTGCTGTAGAAAATAGATAGTAGATAATCTTACATCATCGGTGAATGAAAATTATTTTTACTTTGCAATACTGGGAACATAACAAGACAATGTTTAGGAGAAATTCAAATAGTTAGATACGTCAATGAGCAACCAATTTAAATATAGTTGCAGCGTTCTTAGTAATGCACTCTATGGTTAATTATGGTAAGCATACGAAATGTCAAGAAAATGTAGCTTAACTTTTAATACAATTTATTGAAATCGGTTTAATTTAACTGTAATTCTTCCTTACAACATTTTACATACATACTATGAATTTTACAGTACATCTTGAGCGTGGTTTTATTGAAATCTATTTAAATTTAATCGAAATTTTCGATTATGGGACTAATAAATGAATATCAAATATCTAATGTCGTGTCCTTTAACATTTCGTAAAGTATGTGCGTACGTAATCACATATACAGCCGGTGTACAAAGTACTCGTGCACCTTTTAAAATGGATTAACTTTTTTATAATTGGGTTAAGCGATCTAAATTTTTTTGAGATGTTAGACGGATTAGTTCACTAGACAATTGCTACAAAATTGTTTAGAAAAGTTGCAGTCGATTGGCATGGCAAAAGAATTAAAAAAATGTTTCTTCAACTTTTTTATCTGAGCTCATAACGAAAATTTCATCGAAATCTGTTGATCTTGACATGAGCTGCAAGCAATTAGAGATCGCAAAAATCGCAATTTTTTACGAATTTTAACTAAAAACAGATAGTTTTTACATCTTTCAGTGGTTGTATCTTAACCATGCATCAATCAATTTCAATGAAATTTTTAACATCTTATAGAAGTTACTGAGATCTACAAAATGCATTTTTTAAATTTTCGTTGCAGGCTTAGATAAAAAAGTTTAAAAAACATCATTTTTTAATTCTTTTATCATGCCGTCAATGGCAATTTTTGAAAACAATTTTTTAGCCATCGTCTAATAAACTAGAAGTCGCTTGAAACAATTATAGGAAAAATTATTTCGTTTTAAAAGGTATACGAATACTTTGTACACCGACTGTAGATACTGAACTTTGATCGAAAAAATCAGGAACGTACGTAGTCGAGGTAAGTCGTGTTTAAAACGAATTTTAACCGCTGAAATAGTTCCAGGTACGTAATAAATTAAGAGTGTATAATTCGACATAATATTCGAAGCTATTAAATAAAACATGTAATATATATGATAATATAAAATTAAATAGAAGTCAATAAATTGCCCATGTTCCATTTTCATCCTCTTAACTCTGTCGTTAATAAAATTATCGATTAATATGTAAATTCATGCGAAATGTACACGCTTGTATTTTTATTGCTGTTTGTCTTCAGGAGTAAATTAAAGTACAAGTCAGCAAGAAAGTTCAAGGTAAAGATATCTACCGGGAGTACGTCACCGAAGACGTAGTCTTTTGCAATGCACAAAACTAATTTAGCCCTCGATGGTTTATAAAATAAAGCAAAAACACATAAATTTTCTCACATAGAATATTGTAAAGATAATTTACATATGATATCGTTTTAATTGACATGTAAAGTAAATGTCTACATTATAGATACTTTACCACCACTATGCCCCGCGAAACAAATATGTAGTACGTTCCTGTAGAAAGTACATATAGCGTGCCGCCATATGATTTCCCCAGTTTAACATCGCAAGCGTGGTAGAGTATGAAGGTAGAAGATCTCCGTTCGTAAAAAGTGTTCGTTGACATTGTTCGAAACTATTATCCTTGAAATTAACTAACAAGAAAAATATGAAATCGAAGAAATCCAGTTCCGTTGGAGTACTTTATTTGAAAACATATAATTTGACGCTAGTTTTCGGGTAAGTGCCCACTGTAAATAAAAACATTCGTTCGACGTGTGATTTCAAATAAATTCATTTACCAAATAAAATGCTCTTGCAGATGGTCTTACATACTTCTAAGATTTTTCCAAAATGATTTTTCATCTACTGTAGAGTTAGGTTTGTGGCAAAACCTTAAATGGCCTGTTATAATTTTTCAACATGCAGCTATACTGGAGGTAAGATATCATCTGTGTTTTGATTTTAATGGAAGGATCTAGATTTCTTTTCAATAATTCATTTTTGTTTTTGCAGGTAGTACATGCAATAGTGGGATTAGTGAAATCTAATCCTTCTCTCACAGCTTTCCAAGTCGCTAGTAGAGTTTTTGTAGTGGATGCTGTATTATTAGCAATTCCATACAGTGCAGCATCAACCACTGGACTAACATTGGCACTGTTAGCATGGACGATAACAGAAATAATAAGATATTTGTATTACTTCATGAATCTTAATAATTTTGTACCATATTTCCTCACGTGGTTAAGGTATAGTATTATTATTATTATTCATTATTAATAATGTTTATATTATTTTTAATAATAAATTATTTTTATTTATATAATAATAATTATTATTATTTATTATATTATTCAAGTTAAAATAAGATTTTTAAAAGGTTCATCAAAGGTAACATTTCAATTTACAGGTATACATTATTCATTGTATTATATCCAATTGGTATAACAGGAGAATTATTATGTCTATATGCAGCTGCACAATATGCAAAATCACATCCTGAAGACTGGAGTTACATGCTGCCTAACTCTTTGAACTTTACATTTAGTTATCACTATTGCCTCATCCTTACTATGTTATCATACATTCCTAGTAAGTTACTAAAATATTATACAAATCACAATAATACCAACACTATATTCTGCTTGTCTAATCATTGTATTGTTTTTTTTTATAGTTTTTCCACAACTGTACCTTCATATGTTCGCGCAAAGACGTAAAATTTTGGGGAAAGACTCGAATAAAAAAGCTCAGTAATATAAAGAAGTTTTGTATTTGTTATTTTACATCTTTACATCTTATTACATTGACAATACAAGTTTGAGTTTATAAAGCCCAGGTCGAATTTGTTATAATTTAAATGTAGTATCCCAATTATTATTGTATAATATATTATACCCAATTGAATGTAATGACTATTCTTTGTGATTAAGTCTCTTCAGAGGGACTGGAACACTACTACAACCACATAGTGATAAAACGCTCCTGCAATAAGAATTTGTGCATGAAAAATAGGCTAAAGTATGTTAACTGAGAAATTAAAAGAATATTTTGAAGGATCAGAAATGTTCACAAGACTCTCCTGTATCTACATTTTGCGAAAGTAGTTTATTTATTATGGTAAATTTTTAATTTTTTAAGATTACTGTTTATCCGCGATACTCGCGCCTCTTGATTTCGAGGGTCCGTACAGTGCCAATTGGGGTAATGGCAGAATGTTCAAACTGTTGGCCAAAATCGACTGTGGATAATTTGGCTAACGAAGCTTCGTTCCTTTTCCAAAAGAGGCGACACAAATGAGAACAATTTAGGGCCACCTTAAAACATTAATTATAACAGAACTAGGGCATACAAAAATAAACCAAGGGTACAAAATTGTTTAAGAGTATCTGCCGCATCGATATCATATAAAAAGAACAAATAACAACATTGCGAAACATAATTTATTGTTCCTTGAATTTTGGTTATCTATTATATTAAGTAATTATATTTTATAATCGTTTAATTTTTTTTTATACAATATAGATTCAGCAGATTCTTCTGAACAGTTCTGTGTCCTTGGTTAATTTTTGTACGCCGTAATTATGCCATAATTAACGTTTTTCTACGATCCTGCATTGCCCATACATATTGTGGGATACATTTAGTTCGGCGTTTAACTGCTATGCGGTGATAGTATTGCGTTAATCCATAAAACCGGTTAATTTAAAATAGGATCATATATAGACATTTTTCTGGAAATCAGAAATATACGTTCGATGCTCATCATCGTCGATATTATTTTCAGCTCAATAACTCCACAATTATCATATTTTAGTCGAAGTGATAATATGTAAAAATGAATGGTGCCTCGGTTTCGAATACGGTGTCTTACATCGTAGTTCCAAACATGGCCGATAATCGGATATTGCAGGATGGGCGAGCAATCTGAATACGTAATCGGAACTCTACTGCAGTATACACATAGGTTTTGTAAATAATTTTGTAAATAATTTATCGATCTGATAGGCCATTTTAACTGTGCGCCTAAAGGAACAATTAATCAATTCTTGATCACGTGTTGTACTGTCATAATTATTAAAAAAAATAAAGTTGGAACTGTTCAAAGGGGTCGTTGCAGTTCGACAACATGTCCGAGCGTAACGATGACACAGAAAATGGTAATATTTTTAACTGTCAATCTGTCATAACAACAAAATTTGATATTTCTTTGACGTCATCCGCACTGTAACTTTTTCATTGCGAATTGATATGACGATGTACCTTTCCTTTCTTACGTCCTTCGAAACTTGCATGTAAGAGTCATCGAAATGGTATTTCTTGTATCATGATTTCGTAACACGGGACACCAACTTCTTTACAGATACTAAATTACAAAGATGTTAATGACAGGTTCAATATTTTTAGAAAGCATATACATTTTGAGCTTGAACTGCGTAAATTTGCTCGCGTTAACGGTGTGAATAGATTCGTGATGACATTTTCTGTCATCCATAAAAGTAGCATGTTTTACTAATTAAATAAAATGGTTAAGTGGATTAAGATATTGGGTATTGTTTGAAGATATTCTGTTCTATCTTACGAGTATTATACTCGCGAATAAACGCAAGGATTGTCAGGTAATTTATCGTGTCATGTGTTTGTCGCAAAATTTTGACATATGTTTACAGCAGGCCAATGCTTCCACAAATTACATTTCCTTTAACCAGTCGTCCACGACAATTATTTGTCCATGAACTCTTACAGAAGCATTTATTCGTGTAGTTTTATTTGAGTCAGTAAAGTATTTTTTTCATGCAAATTCTCCACTCAAATGTTTCTTTCCATTAGTATTATTAGTATTATTTTGTTACACTCATAAGTTACCAATCGCATTTATCAATTGTATCTCAGAAAAATCATAGATTCACTTTTATACTATTGGCATAAAATACTTATACTATAATAAGAAATTACTTTATGTTGTATCTTTTGTTTTGCTTTTATATATAGAGAAGAAATTAAGCGAGGAAGCAACGAACAGTTCTTCAACAACAGAAGAGGCAGAAGATTCTGACGTTGAAATGATTCGTGAATATTTAGGACAAATGCTGATAAGGTTATTTAATTCGCCAACATGCGATGGACAGTCCACAAAAAAGGTTCTTCGAGAACTCAGCATTGATGGGATAGTAGACTATATCAAGGAAACAGAAAATATTAAAATTGTTACAATGGCTGGAGCTGGTATATCCACATGTAAGTATTGACAATTTCATGCTGGAGCCATAAAAGAATATTTTACTATCTACAGAGTTCTTTTGTGTCCACAGCCGCAGGAATTCCTGATTTTCGATCGCCGTCTAGCGGGTTGTATCACAATTTAAAGAAGTACAACTTACCTTACCCTCAAGCTATTTTTGAAGTTAGTTATTTTATGGAAAATCCAGAACCCTTCTTCACACTTGCAAAGGAATTATTGCCTGAAGGCTTTAAACCAACCCCATGCCACTACTTTATACGGCTCTTGTGGCAAAAAGGATTACTCTTAAGACACTACACGCAGAATATCGATACATTGGAAAGGATTGCTGGCTTGCCACCTGAAAAATTGGTCGAAGCACATGGATCATTCCATACTGGACAGTGTCTAAAATGCAAAACAACGTATACTTTACCGTGGATGAAAAGTAATTTTAAGAAATATTTTAACTTTTTAAAACTTATCGAATTACCAGCAGTTCCTGAAGTCGAACACATGCTTTCAGAGAAAATTGCTGAAGATACCGTGCCGAAGTGTGAAAAATGCAAGGAGGGTGTAGTAAAACCAGACGTTGTATTATTCGGAGAATTGTTACCCCAACGTTTCGATCACCTGATCGAACAGGATTTTCCGGAAGCGGATCTACTGATCATTATGGGATCCAGTTTGCTTGTCCATCCATTTGCATCCTTGGTAGACAGGTGTACATAATGAAACGATAACAAATTGTAAAGTTTTAGTTTAAGAACTTGTATTTAAATTGCTGTTTCTCTATTTTCTTTAAGAGTACGACCTCACTGTCCGCGTTTACTCATTAATAAAGAAAAAGTGGGCATGCAAGATCGTTTGTCACGGTTCCTGGGACTGCGGCAAGGCTTCGTCTTCAATACGAAAGATTCTTCGGGTGGACGCGACGTTGCCTGGTTAGGCGATTGCGATACCGGATGCAGAATGTTAGCAGAAAAAATGGGATGGGAAGTATGTTTCCCCTTCTTTTTCATGTAACTCGAAAATTTATGTCAACAATTTGACTTACATCGTTCTCCTTTTCAGGACGAATTAACAGACCTTATAAAAAGAGAACACGAAAAATTGGATGCTGAAAGCGCTAAGAAGAATTAGTTATATTAATGGTATTCCGGAGAGGTAAACTTGTTTATTAACGCAATTGTTATTTGATAAGTTCGCCACTATTTTTATAAAGAAAAACTTATTTAGAAAAATGATATTTCCTATTAAAGTAATTGTAAAAATGTTATTTAAACAATAGAAGATTCAATACGATGACAACAAAGAGACACGCTCTCGTTTATATCCGCCTCATGAAGTTTTATAGAAAATAGAAAAGAAATAGAAATAAGCGATAAAAAAAGCATAATTTTCTAATGTATATTTTGACATGTAATTTATTTTTTTAATGCGATCATGATAATTGAATCGCATGTACAGATAAAATGGAACACGGTAATACTCCGAAATGTACGTTGAACGTAATTGGATCATGTCATTGTAAAAGGCTTGGTAATAACTTCCTGAGTTTCTTGTTGATGCACCTGTCCATCGCCGGCAGCTGGGGCAGCCATAGTTCTGCGACCACAATATTGTAACTAGAAATCGTAATACTGTTCTCACACGAGAATTTCTTTCTCTCGATGAAGTTGTTACTTAAATAAATTTTTCTTTAAATTTTACGCTTACACGTCTACCGCATAAATTTTCAAAACGGGGTTTCACAAAGTTCCATGGTCCCATATTTCGTGGCTCTTCTTGGCTCCATATGAACGCTAAACAGTTATTAAAATATATTTTGAACAGAGCTTCAGAACACGTTGCGATAAAACTGCAGTTTGTTTACTCACTTCTCGCGTTTTTGTATCTATCGAGCTCTTGTAATAATTCATGAACCGGAAAGGGACATAAAGTCTCCAATCTAACGATGGCTACATTACTCTGTCCCGCGGTGTTTCTATAATCGTCGAGAGCGTAGAAATGTTTTCCACTCACCAGAATGATTTTGTCCACGTTCGCCACCGCCGCTTTCTCGTCCCCTGTTAAGCAGATCAGCCGAGTCGTAAAAACGGAAATGATTATCCTGTAAATTTTGTTTTCTATATACCTATAACATTTGTAAATCTAGTTCGTGGACCCATGTCTTGTAACAACGACGTTGCAGCATTGTGACGTAACAATATTTTTGGAGCCACAACGATCAAAGGTTTCCGGAAATTCCTTAGCATCTGAAACGTGAAAAGCTTTAGACAGAAGTAAGGCAGTTTGTGAAACCGTCTATTCAGAGCGCAAGAATCGTCCTCGTACTTGTCTCCTCAGTAAGTGAAAGTATTGCGCCGGGGTTGTAGGGTTCACTACATGCATGTTCACGTCATCTCCATCCGGTTTGTCCTCGTTGCTATCCGTCAACTGTAAAAACCTTTCTATTCTGCAGGAGCTGTGTTCGGGGCCAGCGCCGTCATAGCCGTGCGGTAGAAGAACGGTCAGCCCGCTGCTTAACATCCATTTCGCTTCGCCACTAGTCACAAAGGTGTCGATTACGATTTGCGCTCCGTTGAAGAAATCACCAAACTGTGCTTCCCAGACGGCCAAGGTTGTCGGCAGAGCTATACTCATCCCGTACTCGTAACCCAAAGCCGCTTCTTCCGACAGAATGCTGTTAGCCAATTCCAACTTTCCTGTTTGACCCTCTATCATCGAGTTTAGAGCGATCTGTACGTCTAGAATATCGAGTAACGAAGTAAATATTGATCCGATAAATTTGGGGAAAAATCGATATTCGCTTACCTCCGGTTGTCTGATCTACGAACATGGCGTGTCTATGGGAAAACGTTCCACGGCCCACATCTTGCCCGCTTATTCTGACGTTATAGCCTTGGTACAATAGGCTTCCGATAGCCAGTGCCTCGCCGGTAGCCCAGTCCAGTCGGCCTTGCTGGTCGTTGATCGTCTTTTTCAGCCTGGCTCGGACGTGGCTCTTCGCTAATTGCGGATGGATGGTCTACGCGGCGAAACGTATATGGCCGATTATATGGAAGAACCATGATTTAGCTACGATTGTTGGATCAACGTATAGCATTGTATTCTCACCGTATTATCGTCGACGCGAACGCTCTTTTCGGCGATGAATCTCAGCAGAGCCAGGTCGACGCCTGTATCCCACTGAGTCACGCTTGCTTCGGCTTGGCTCATTCCCTTCCACAAACCTGCAAAGTATGCGGGTTCCGGGACGTAAGCATCCACCTTTTTCAGCGCTTGGTTCAACCGAGCGATGTGACCGTCGTTGTCGTGCTTGGCTTCCTCCAGGGTAAAAATGTTAGACTTTACCAGTTTATCTAAGTATCGATCCGGTACCGATCTATGTGAAAACAAAGGTAGACTCACTCTTTCATTTTTCAGACGCGCAACGAGATTTAAAACACCTACGAACGGCTCTGTATCATTTTATACAAAACAGGATTTGTGAACGTTGGATCGTCCAGTTCGTTGTGGCCCCATCTTCTGAAGCAATTCAAGTCCACGAAGACGTCTTTCCTGAACGTTCTTTGGTACTCGAAGGCGAGTCTAGTCGCTCGGACGACCATCTAACACGACGTTTGGAATAGTTTAGTGACTTGAGCTTAGCGTATGCGAAAACGTACGATATACACCTCAGGATCGTCTCCGTTGACGTGGATCACCGGGACGGAGATCATTTTCGCCAGGTCCGAGCAGTATCGCGAAGATCTGCCTCGCGAGGCCGGCGTGGTGAATCCCAGTTGATTGTTCACGATCAAGTGGATCGTCCCGCCTATTTCGAAGTGCGGAGCCTGGGACAAAGCTAAGCATTCCTGGTTCACGCCTTGGCCAGCGTAAGCGGCGTCCCCGTGAACCTGAATGTTCAACACTTTGTCGCTCCACCAGGCGTTCTCGTCTTCGCCGTAAGCCCCTTCGCCGACAGCCTGCATCACTCCTCGGGTTTTCCCCATAGAAACCGGATTCACCACCTCCAAGTGGGAAGGATTCCTCAGCATCGACACGTGCAGGTTTTTCCCGTCGATATCGAGATCGGTGGAGGACACCAGATGACTGATCACGTCGCCGGTCGTTTTCGCATCACCCGGAAACTCGGATAGTCCCCGGAGCTTTCGAAACAATTTCTCCGGCGGAAGGTTTAGCATACCGGTGAGCAAGTTCAGTCGACCACGGTGCGCCGTGCAGAGGACAATGTACGCCAAGTCGTCTGGAAACAGATGGATCGATTTAGATCGGTTCGCGGAACGATCGTGTATTTTCACGCGATTTCAATTACCGTCTGCGCACAGTTTGAAAAATTCATGGAAGAACGCCATCATAGCCTCGGCTCCTTCGCCACCGTATCTTTTGAGGCTGACGAACTTTATGGCCAGGAAGTTGTCGAAAGTTTGGCTCCTTAGCATCTGCTTCGCGATGGCCACCCTCGTCCGATCCGCGAGGGGTTCGGCCACGCGCTTCTCCGCGGTATGCGCGAACCATTCTCTCTCCTCTTCGGTCTGCGCAAACGTTAAAGGCGATCGGATACTTTGAAAATGTTCCCACGGGCTGTTATCGCAGTACGTCGGCGAACGATACCTCTAGATGGCTAAACTCGAGACCTATGGTATCGCTGTAGGTCCTAATTAGGAATGCCAAGGCCTCCTCCACCGTTCCTTCCTTCTTATTCGTCGTTAAGATCCCATCGAAGGACACTCTGTCCGTCAAACGTAATCCAAATCTGTCTGGATTCAATTCTACGAGCGGAATTGGCTTGTTCGGAGAGACAGGATCTATGTTGGCTTGTTTATGACCAAATTCTCTGTACGCAGCGACCAGTCTGTAGAAATTGCTGTTCTTTGATCGCGTTACCAGATATTCTTTCGGCACTGCAGAACGTAAACGGAAATATACGGGATTTTCAATAAAAATTCCGACAGTTTGTGAATAGTTGCAAAGTTGCGTAATAATCAAAATATCGTATCCCGTTATCGCAGCTGTTTATTAGCGGAGCAAATCTTTTGCTCGACACCGCACTTTCTATTTTTGCACCCAACGATAACAGTCGGTAATCGTAACACGATCCGGCGATACAAACGCATCGCGTTTCGTGTTGCTGAAATGTGCGAACCGAGTGTTCAAAAAAAGAAAAAAAAAGCCCCGCGACACCTACCGATCCATAGGACAAGATGAATGTTGTATCATATGTAACGATAAATCTGAAATAAACATTGTATTTTTAGTCAGAAACAAGTGATCGAGTCGCAGCATCAGCCCATCGATTGAAAGAGAGCCGATCGATCGGGAAAAGAAGTTCGAATTGTCAGCGATCGACTTGTTTTCGGTTCGAATTTGTCACGCATGCGCGTGCCGCCGCGCTTTACGGAATTGTAACAGTTGCGCGAGTCGCGAGACGCACGCAGTGGACGAACGGTTTCCGACGTGCTTCAACTTTTGATTCTTCATTCATTTCATCGCGCGTTAAAACTGTGCTCGTGTGCCATAATATATGAACAAGGACTCGCATTTAGGGCATGCTCGCCCATTGCCGAAGGTTTACCCCTGGCGAGGTAAGAACGAATTACGACGAAATCGCGTTTTCCCCATTCCTCCATTTGAAAGCGTTCACACGAGAAACGTTGACAGCCGCCTCGGCGGTGAACGGAACGATATTTTCAATTCGTATTCGAATCTTTGAGGCTGCTGTCTTCTATAAGAGTCGCGTCGATTTTTGCTCTTTAACCTTTTAGGTACGGCTGAATTCTGCGCGAGGCTATTTCTCTGGACGGCAGAGTCTGATATGTACTGTACAGAGTCTGATACTGTATACTCTGTCTGTCCCAAAAATGTCACGCAATCCGAAAGTGGCGGGTTCCTCGGATCATTCGAAGCAACTTCTTCCTTTAGAAAAATGTTCTCCGAGGCACCGTTAACGAGTTATCAACGAAAAACGGTGACCAATGAGAGGCGAGCTCGGCTGGCGCGAGGCGATCGAGCCAATGAGCGGAACCGGGCTTCGCGCGCTGGTCGGCCGTACTCGATTCTTATTGGTCACTGTTTTTCGTTGATAACTCGTTAACGGTGCCTCGGAGAACATTTTTCTAAAGGAA